AAAATTGTTTTGGCTGGTTTTAATCACCATTATTCCGAGAATAAATCTGGGTTATTACACCATAATGTCTTGGTGTAACACCCAGATTTTGGAGCCTATATAAAGGCCAAAACTCCACATGATAGGAACACACTTTCTCACAATTCTCTTCTCCTTATTCCGGTTCTCTCTCTGTCCTGGTTTGTTCCGAATTTCCTTGAGTAGTTCTTGTAGTTCGGTTTTGGTGATAGAGGGAAGATCAAGTTCTAGTTCGCCGGACGGTTCCGAAAGTGCATCGAGCTGCCGTCGTTGTCGTTGTATCCTGGGAGACGGACGTCCAACGTAACCTCAAGCACACGCCGGAGGGGACGAATCTGTTTTAAGGACAACGTGGTTCACGTGCCTCGACATTCATACAATTCCGTTTTCCGAATTCCATAGAAAGGTTGATTTCGGGTTGTAACAATTTTCATTATTTTGTTATTCCTTTATTTCCTTGTTCTTCTTTGTATTTTTCTATTATATTGTCTAACACTAACTGCTGTGTCCAAGGCTAGCCCACAGCAGTTAGACGCCAGACATCACATTTGTCTAGCGGAGGGGCCATAATGCCTTTCTCCGCATGTTCATTAAATAATCGATTTTGAAACACCTCACCTCCAGTACCTTGCTCCGCATCTTTGTTTATGACTTGAGATTTCTGCGATAAATCTAAAGCTGTTTATTTTGTTGATTTGAATTTAGAATTCAAATTTTGTTACAGTAAAAAGTTCTTACAAGCAGTCACATCTAACTTTTTTGTTACAATAAAAAGCTCTCATATAAAGTCACATCTCAACTCAAATTAAAAATTCGAATCAACGAACTAAACGAGCCCGGTTGTCCTTGCTTCGAGTCATAAAGCCGCATTTGTAGCCCCATTACGGCCACCCCTAGCTCATCTTCCCCGTTGCCGTCTTGATTCTGATTTCTAACCACCGCCTTCGAGTTTGAGCCTGGTTCAAAGAAAATATTCTCAGACTCTAGGGATGTTAGGGCATTCATTGTCGAGGAACTACCTGAGACTTTGAGGTATTATTTGGGCATGTCCCTTCTTGGGATGGAGGGGAGGGAGGTATCTCGATGTCAACAATAGGGTAAACCACCTGCTAAACCTTCCTTTTCCTTTAGTTATGACTTTGGGCCCTCATTCCCTCAACCCCCGCTGGTGGGGCCAAGGCTACTTGGTGGGCTTGATACATCTCCATCGTATCTGGCCCAATCATGTAATACACTATTTCCTTAAAGGCCTCAGACGAGGCTCTTAAAGCCCGTTTGGTTAGAGGATTCGTTCGAATTATGGTTCATGGTTCGGTACAGTATTTTTTTCTCATAAAAAATACACACAAATAAAAAATGGTTCTAATCTCATGGTTCTAATTCATGAACCAAACAGGCTAATAGTGTTACTTTTCATAAGAGTACCTTATCGTCTTTCTGCTTGAAAACCTTCCCTATCAAAACCCTCCACCATGCTTGTTTCAGAGTCTTTGTCCTCTAGCCTATGGCCTCCCAATATTTCCGCAAAGGAGGAGGTCGTGTTTTGTCTTCTTGAGAAAGCCACTACAACTGCTTCATTGTCTGTCAAAATTTTCATCATACCATGCCTATTATCCTCTTCACACTGGATGGCACTCTGATTGGCTGCAGAAGACATACCTGGTTTTGATCATTTGATTTCGTCCGTTGCAGGGTTGTTGACTAGCTTGTCTGGAGAAGCCACCTGCCTAACAATCTCCTCCGGCGACGGTGCCACCAGTGGCTGAGTTAGCATTTCTCTCCTCTTCGGCCACCATAGCCAAGTAGTCAGCCTTTACCCATTTTCCATACAGTTGAGTTTGATTCCCATAGTCGTCATCCAACATCGCCGGTGACTTAGCCTTACACACCTTATCGTCATGTCTTAAGAGGCCATAGTTAAAGCAGAATCCCATCAACCGTTCATATTTCAAATGGACCCACCGTTTGACTCACAGGCAGTCCTTCCGAAAGAAACCAACAACTAGGGGTTGCTCAATATTAACAAGGACTTGGACTCTGAAGAAGCGGCCCCAGGACTTTGATTCAGGTTTCGGAATGAGCATCGCCATGACCTCCCCAGCTCTCGCTCCAACTGACCTCGCATTTTCCTTTGTGAAGAAGTCCGGAGGGACACCATGGACTTGGATCAAGAATAAAGACTAACTAAATCGAATATGCCCCGCATTTAATCCTGGTTCCCAATCCTAAAACACTAAGAGGACGTTTGGTTGGAGGATTCAAACCATGTGATTCGAACCATTTTCGATTTATGTGTATTTTTTGTGAGAGAAAATATTGTAGCAAACCACGAATCATGATTCGAATTAGAGAATGAATCCCTCTACCAAACATCCTCTAAAGTGGCATCCATTGATAGACCAAGGCTGTTTGGCATGGCCCATAATTTGTCTTCCTTGCTTTTAAACGTGAAGACAAAGAGGCTGGGACCCTCTTCTTGGATATACCACACAAGAATTTTAGAGCTCGTTTGGTTCATGGACTAGAACTATGAGATTAGAATAATTTTCGATTTACGTATATTTTTTGTGAGAGAAAATACTATAACGAATCCTGAACTATGATTCGAATCAGAGAACGAATCCTCCAACCAAACGGGCTCTTACTCTGAGCATTAGCCAAGCTATTCCTAACAATCAGCTTGCTTATCTTCGTTCTCGACAGAACTTTTCCCACAGCCTCTCTCTCATAGGAAACAAAAGCTAACTTAGGATCCGGGATGAGATCAATAGCATCCTCTGAACAGTGGAGGGCTGCTACTTGTCTAATCAGCTCCTTTAGTTGTTCCTCTTCCCCACGTGAATCCTGACTTGTTGCATGGAAAGTAGGACTTACTTCCAATGCCAAGAACTAGGCCCCAATCCCCTAAAGGAACAAAGAAACATTGCAAAGAAAATAAAAAAGCTTCGCAGTACTCAAAGCACACTAAAAATGAATACAGCCCTCGAGAACTTCGAAAGACGAGCACTATAAACAAGGAGAAACTTTTGGCAGAAAACACTGATGATTATGACTACTGACTAATATGCACTCACTAACTCAAAGAAACAAAGCCCTACTGGGGCAAGGCCCCACCTTTCAGGGACTAAGCCCTACCGAGACAAGAAGCCCAACTGGGACAAAAGTCCTACCGGAACTACACCACCTGAGACTAGTGCTGGAACTTCGGGTCGGCGGGCCGCCCGAAGCCCGAATTTTTTCAGGCTCGGGCGGGCCGGCCCAATTCCTGCCCGCCCAAGCAAGAAATTCAGGTTCGGGCTCGGGCAGCCCGAATTTGACATGTCCATCCTGCCCGCCGACGTCTAACCACCGTATACCGCCGTCCGTCGGGATTTTTTTGAATTTTTCTGACCAAGCCCGAACTGCCCGACCTGAAAATTGCCTGAAAATTGGGTGTGCCCGAATTGCCCGACCCGAAGCCCGAATTTTTGATTTTTTTTGAATTTTGCCCGAATTTTTCCCACCTGGCCGAATTGCCCGACCCGCCCGAGGTGCCCGAATACCCAAAAACGGCTAGTTTTTTAAATTTTGCCCGAAAACCCGAGTTGCCCGAGTTGCCCGAAAACCTGAAAACGACTATTTTTTAAATTTTTACCCGAATTCTGTCTGAAAACCCGAGTTCGTGTGTTCATTTCAAATTGTAATATATATATAAATATAATATATATATATATATAAATTGTAATACTAATATATATATAAATAACTTAATATTAAAAAAAA